ATATAAAGTAATCTGGTGGATCTTATTGCATGTTTGCGTGTACTGCCTCGTTTATATCTGTGTAAGCAAGTGGTTTTATCAGTTTGATTAATTATTGGTGAGAGTAGTTGTGATAGCGGCGGAGTTTATGCGAGATTTTATTAATGTTGAGGTAGTTAAGGTATCGCGAGGATGCTGTTGCTGGTGAAAGGAAAATATCTGTTCTGAGATAAATGTTGGGTTTTCTAGAAGCAGTGGCGTTTCTTCAAGAAGTGCACATGTGCGTTTGAACCCCCTAGTTTGAAGCTAAATTTGAATATGATTGAGTTTCTTCCATAAGTACTCGATGCTAACTTAAATCTTCTGTTGATTTTGGTAGTAGAGATCCCGAGCTGTGTATTAGTTGGCCAAAATATATACCTATGTCGTAGTCTCATATTTATGCTGTCCTCCATTCGCGAATTTCGAGTTCCGGGCTTTATGCCCTAGGGCTACTCGAGAACGGTTCTGAAAGGAGCTGTGCGCGATAGCCTAGTGCCTCCATATGGCGCGGAACAGTTCTGGAACTTTATGACTCAATTGAATGAAGTGAGAGTATCGCGTTCTTGAACAGTTCAGAGCTGCACAACTGCGTGAATGGAGGACAGTAATTGTGCATTCCATCTTTTCATGAAGAGCCTTGTCACTTAATGAAAAAAACTAACCTAATAACATATATCTAAACTGCATCTATAACCGACTCTCATGAAGTGACCTAGGATCTTCATGAAAAGACGGAATACACTATGTGACTACGATATACAGGTTGTTAATTCGACAGTTACTTATAGGGGAACAGAGGTTGCCATATTTCAACCGTAAAGCTCTTGCCGCGAGTAATGAACAACTTAACAACCTGTATGTATTATCCTACTATACTCTGTTTTTTTTCTCAGGTAAGATTTCGACAGACGATGACAGAAGAAAAGCAGATGACGTCCCATACCAATCTATTTATTTTACTGAAAAAAGTTTCTAATAATTTTTAAGTTAACTATGGATGGGTTTAAATATAAATTCGTCATGCGTCGTCACTTGTTGTTTTTAACCAGTTTTATTGGTTTATTTAAAAAATGACAGATCGTATTTCAATTTTATTGGTTTGACGGAACGATGAACGACAAACGGACGCCGGTGCGTATGAACTCGCCTTTAGATTTTTGACGTTTGTCAACGTCTTGCCAAATTATAGGTTATAATTTTGTGACAACTTTTATCAAATACCCTGCGTTTTGGAAGATGATGCATTTTGATTCGTGTTATTTCTTGTGTTTTGTGTCTTTTGAAGTCAAGTGGAGGAAAAATCGAGTGAAAATTAACTGTAGAACCCAGAGCACAGTTTATGGATAATACTCGCTGCCCAGGCAGAAAGTCTTATACAGATACACCAATAAAGTTACTATCAATAAAGTTCGTATACCATCTCGTCGTAGATAAGTGCATCTCGAATATGGTAGAAGGTATATATATTGGTATAGAAACCATACTAAACACATACTAAAAACTGGAGTAGCTGTAAAATATCGACATCACACGATAGGTAAATAATGGATTTTAGTACTGCAGAAAAATAATGTCAAAAGGTACTGGTTTAAAAATTAAGATTAAAGTTAATTAATCAACTTGTGAGGTATAAAATTTGGTAAGTGTTATTATTAATAAAATAGTTTGTTTTATTTATGTTGTTTTATTTATTCCTGCGGAATATTACAAATTTGTATTTGTACATAAGTTATATTGATAAATATAATCATAAATGCGGGAAGTTTCATAAAGCTTGAAAGTAAGAAATAGTTCTTTTTTATATTTTTTGGTATGTGGTGTCTTGTTTTTGTTTGTTTTATATTAACACATACCGTTTTTTATTAAATAAAATAACTCGATTACATTTTTTCAGTTTTATACAGTTTTTTTCACAATATTTTGAAGTTACTTGTCAGTCAAATTTTAAATACATATATTAATTTCCTGCTATGCTTTCCAGTTGTACCAATTTATTTCTTTGTAAAATAAAATAAACTACTTTGAAATTTAAATGACAGACTCATCTATCACTGTCAAGGATCTTCTCGTTGGACAGACTATATTTCGAGTGTTGCGTTATTTCTTAGAATGTCTTTTCTGTCTACTAGTTTGTTGTACCGTATGGTCGAAAAAAAACGGCGTCCAGTTAGCTTGGAAATGACCGATTTCCCATACAATTTTACATATAAAATGACAGAGATCTACATTTCATAGCCATCGCTGACGCCGTTTTTCATCCCTGCTAATCTCTGGTTTCATCTCAAGTTTGGTCTTCTTCTAGGTCTCTTTTTCTTGTGGGTACCATGCTGTAATTTTTGTGGTCCATCTGTTGTCCGTTCTTCATGTCAGGTGTACTGCCCATTGCCACTTTAGGGATTTGATTATGTTGATGACATCTATTACCTTGGTCTTTTGTCGTATCCACTCTATTCTTTTACGGTTTTCTTGGTTATTCCCAGCATATTTCGTTCCATTGAGTGTTGTGTGACCTGTAGTTTCTTAATATTGTCCGTTTTAAGTGTCCATGTTTCGTATGACTGGTAGTACACATTGGTCGGTTTCTTCTTTAAATAAAGTGGCATTTTAGATTTGAATATTATTGAGATTCTTCCATAAGTACTCCATGTTAACTTAAATCAAGGTGAAAGAGAAAATCAATATCAACAAAAACGTGCAATAAATAAAGAGGAGAATCAAGAGTCGAACCTTTTCCATAGCAAAGGCGGCCAAAGATCGTCTTTTTCCTAAAGATAGAGGTTATTATCCGGAAAGCTCTCCCCTGGTGCAAATCTTGATTGGATCAGCCTTTAATTAGCAGAGTGAATGAGAGATAAACGACTCGGAGGAAACGTAAGGCCCGGAGGAAATTACAGAAAGCGACAAAATACTTCGCAGTCCATGGGCAAATGTACAGCTTTTTGAATTTATTTTACTTTCATAGAAAAAAAATGTTTTACTTTCTCTTTTGCATTTCTACTAGTGGATATATTTTTCCATTTTTACTTTTACCACTTCTTTTGATTTCCCTATATTAAAATTTTGGTTGATTAGTAATACACCTACCCCAGAAGAGGATCTATATTTTTTCTCACATTCGCACGACATAATTTTTGGACAAAAATCATATTTTTATCACAACATCACAGGCCACTCTAAGGAGGAGCCTGGTCTCTAAGGGTCGGACTCATCCCCCCCTCTCCCCCTGAGAAGCGCCTAACAAATTTTTATATTTTGACTTAAATTTTTCTTTTTTTGATAACGGGGAAGATATAACCTTCAAAACTTCCAGTGTTTTCTGTTTGTTAGTTATATTTGTACTAAAGAGAAAAACTATATTTAACTAGTTCCCAATTGTGTTAAAGCTAGACTTAAAAAAAGGTTCTGATTGAATTCAAAATTACAACAAACTCATACACTTTGCTAAAGTAATGCCATAAACATAATGCGTGTATTTTAACGTGTAAATTTTAGCAGATATAGTAAATATTAATAACACTCATTAGTAGGTAACTCATATATAGTCATAACTGAAATAGAATTTATTAGCTATGATATAACCATGAAATTTAAACAAGATATCATATTAGTTTTATTACATGCTGAATATGTTCTACTATACTTCAATTGACATACCTAACGTCATATTAGAAATGTTCTATGTGACATAAAAGGAAGATAGAATGCGACAAGATACGAGGAAGTTGCAGAAATATGTTCATAGATTAAAATCTAATAGATCCAATATGGATCTCTATGTAAATGTATCATTCAAATCTTGATAAACCCGTTATAAAATTAAATTAAATGTGTTTTCTGATGAACATTCGTTTCATTAAAACATTGTTTTTATTATCAATAAGTTTTATATTCTGTTATAATTTGTTTAACATACCAAAACGTTCTAGGAAATATTCTTGGTACATAGGGGAGAGTAGAGTACTCTACATCGTATTATTTTGCAAAAACTTTTAAAAAATTAGCAAATTTTTTAAAAGGTTGTTGCACACATTATTTTTTTAATAGGCTTGATGCATTCTCTACTGGTGCTGCCATCATCGGAGAATATATCGTAAACGTCTATTTTCCTGTTGTTATAAAAAGAAAAAGCAGCTATGCGATATAAAATATAAGAATTGCACAAAGGAAAAAGGAATATATTTCCAGATTCAAATAGGTATTATAATTAAATCGGTATATCTGGAAAAATTAAACGCTTAAATTCAATGGTTTCTCTACAACCTCGTTCAAAATGAAATCGTCTAATTTATAAAATTAGTTAAAGACTCCAGAGCCATCTGCCGTCTTACGACTGCCGTTTTAACTAAAACACGTGTATTGGAGGACTTTCCACTCGAAACTTTTAATCTTTAACTCGGTAATGGAAACTTTTATTGGCCTGCTCTGTCGGAAGAACGTACTTTGTACTGTAAGACTGCGGGTTACGCTGCTGGCTCTTCTCAATAGGTCATTCCAGGACTGGATTAGCCAATTGCAAAAAACAATTACTGGGGTGAGGCTGTTCTTTCGGATGAGTAGGTTTTGCGAGGGATGGGTTTAGTTGCCTTGTAGGAACTGAGTTTTTATATGGACATTACAGTATTTTTAGATAAGTTTTCAAGATAAAAAATAAAAACATTTTTCCGCCATCTTTGTACCGCAATATCTCCCTAATGGTTGACTTTTGACCCAACGTTTATGAAGCAAACTACCCTTTATTTTGAACAAGGAATCACCCCCTGAAGTTTTTCGCATTTGTTTTGAAACACCCTGTATATATCATACTCTAATCAAATCTACTGTAAGAAGTAAAAAGGAATAAAAATAATAAATAAAAATAAATACATTGTCTAATAATACTCTAAATCTCACCAAGAGAACCAAAAAAAACAATAATTACATTCCATCAATCTGAGATCCTTTCCCCAAGGAAACAGCGAAACGTTTTTAATAATACATACCTTGGTTAGCTCGAACTGCCCCCAAAACAAGTATTAACGTCCAGAGCGACAGCGAATGTCCTGACGGGGTGCCAAACGCCATGGTTACGGTCGCAGGGGGATGCGGGGCTACGTCCCTGAGCGGCTAGATGGCGCGGCGGGCGTGTAACATCACTGGCAACGACGTTCGACCGTCTTTCTGTCTGTCACATGTCAATCGAGAGGGTTGTTGCCCGGCACACTGAAATAAAAGAACAATAAGTTTAAGGGGTTGGTTGACGTCTAGTGGGGGTGTTAATAAAAAAATAGAGGTTGATTTTTATCAAATAGAAATATACTCTGCTTTTTTTCTCAGGAAAGATTTCGACAGACGATGACAGAAGAAAAGCAGATGACGTCCCATACCAATCTATTTATTTTACTAAAAAAAGTTTCTAATAATTTTTAAGTTATCTATGGATGGGTTTAAATATAAATCCGTCATGCGTCGTGTCTTGTTTTTAACCAGTTTTATTGGTTTATTTAAAAAATGACAGATCGTATTTCAATTTTATTGGTTTGACGGAACGATGAACGACAAACGGACGCCGATGCGTATGAACTCGCCTTTAGATTTTTGTCATTTTTGACGCTTGTCAAAGTCTTGCCAAATTATAGGTTATAATTTTGTGTCAACTTTTGTTAAATACCCTGCGTTTTGGAAGATGATGCATTTCGATTCGAATTATTACGTGTGTTTTGTGTCTTTTGAAGTTAAGTGGAGGAAAAATCGAGTGAAAATTAACTGTAGACCCAGAGCACAGTTTATGGTTAATACTCGCTGCCCAGGCAGAAAGTCTTATACACCAATGAAGTAGCCATCGATAAAGTTTGTATACCATTTCGTCGTAGATAAGTGCATCTCGTATATGGTAGAAGGATCAAACTAAACACATACTAAAAACTGGAGTAGCAGTAAAATATCAACATCACACGATAGGTAAATAATGGATTTTAGTACTGCAGAAAAATAATGTCAAAAGGTACTGGTTTAAAAAAATTAAGATTAAAGTTAATTAATCAACCTTTAAGGAATAAAATTTGGTAGGAGTTATTATTAATAAAATAGTTTGTTTTATTTACCTATGTTGTTTTATTTATTCCTGTGGAATATTACAAATTTGTATTTGTACATAAGTAATATTGATAAATATAATCATAAATGCGGGTAATTTCATAAAGCTTGAAAGTAAATAATAGTTCTTTTTATATATTTTTTGGTATGTAGTGTCTTGTTCTTGTTTGTTTTGTATTAACACATACCGTTTTTATTAAATAAAATAACTCGATTACATTTTTTCAGTTTTATTCACAATATTTTGAAGTAATCACTTGTCATCTTGTCAATCAAATTTTAAATATTTCCTGCTATGCGTTCCAGTTGTACCAACTTATTTCTTTATACAATAAAATAAACTACTTTGAAATTAAAATGACAGACACATCTATCACTGTCAAGGATCTTCTCGTTGGACAGACTATAGGAAGTATCTTGGATATACAATTTTTTTTGTGAATTTCTGAATTTCTAAGTTCTGAATGGAGCTTAAAATACCCAAAAGTACAATAACAGGTGTACTAAATAAATTAATTTTACATTTTTGCTGTATCAATCCAGTTGTTTCTGAATAAATACCCTGTATGTATCGTATAACAATACAGTAATAATGTAAATTAATACATTTTCTGGGAAAGCAAAAAAAAAATCAGAAATTCATTCTATTACATTGATATTCGATTTCAGCGGGCACTTACGATTGTTAGAACATGAAATTTGATACCCAAAGAATTCCTTAACGGTATCTAAATTTCCTGGTACATTGTGTTTTAACGAGGCCTTTAAATGAAAAGCCGAAAAATACTTATTTAATTAGAAGCAGATGTTTTGGCGGCAAATTCCTTTTATTAGAATAAAATATTCGGCCGGGTTTGAAGAAATATCTATTACGCTTTTGGCAATTAAAATATATAAATACAAATAGGAAGAATAAAACAGAGGATGAAATACATAGAATAAAATCAATCTATAGATAGAATCAAATCAAAAATACGTGATAATTTAAGCCTAAAGAAGGTCACACTCGTAGATTTTAGCTATTTTTGGCCTGTTATCGATACCTACAGATAATGCCATGAGATAAAACAAAACTAAAAAAAACTACTGACATGTATCTCATGGCTCTAAGCCACATGGTGCCAATGCGCACTCTGATTTATTCGAAACACACTATCAATCATTGTAGCAACATACTTAGGGGCCGTATCTTTTGACTGCGGAATTCTTGTAATCGTTTATTTCAGTCTTCGATCTGTGGTAGTGACGGGTACTGTTGATAGAAATCGTTGACTGGAAAGCTATTCATATTCCAAAAGGTTTCTTGAGGCCTGTGCTCTATTTTACAGTATTTTTTGTATATATATAGAAAATTCTATTATATTTATTATCTATAATATATATATTATTATCTTGAACTGTTTGTATTATAGAAAATTGTTTTTATAAAGCTTGTAAGAACATTTAGAAGAATGATTTTGATTCAATGCATTATGACATTGTTTTCAATAATTCTAAGTATTATTTTCGGTGTCAACAAAATCCCCGTTTATTTTACGACAGTGTTATTATCTTAAGCTTTAGAAGTCTTTGTTTTTAGAAAGCCACTAAGAACTAACAGTGTTTGTTAATAAATAAAGAAGAAAGTATGAAGTCCGCCCGTGGTAGTTGCAGTAAAGTATATAATTATTTTGTTTAACTTACAAACAAAACATAAATTAAAACTATGCGAGTTAAAACAGTTAAACACACAGGACTTTCAAACAGGTCCTACGGTGTTTTTGATATTTTAACCCCAATATGATATATTTTAAGTTAGACATTTTTCGATTACATTATAAAAACAGTATATCATTACTACAACTGCTTTTAAGCCTAGGACTACTGTAAGATCACCTTAATAAGACCGAGTTAAACATCAAAACAAGAGAAAGAGTGCATCTACCAGGTACCTTGAAATGCAATGATTCGTATATGTTATATTAGACTGCATTTATAGTAACTTTTACCCTCAAAGTTTCGTTCAGAAACGTTAAAAGTACTTGGAAGAAAATTATAATAATTCGAAAAAAAAGAGAGAAGCTGTAGAAATAGAAGCCGAAGACCAAGCAAGATTTAGAGCCGGAAGATCGACGGTGGACCATTTATTTACAGTCACTCAAGTAATAAGTAAAAAGAGCAATCTAAACCAAGAGCTACATCTTGTGTTGGTGGACCTGCAGAAGGCATACGACAGCGTTCCCCTTGTGAGACTTTGGGAAGCTATGGAAAAAACCAATATAAACGTGGAGCTAATAACAGCAGCAAAATCATTATATAAACAAACAAAAACTAGAATAAAAGTGGGCAAAAAGTTAACAACAGGATTTAATGGAACCAAAGGTCTGAAACAAGGGTGCTGTATTTCACCAACTTTTTTTTAGAATTTAGAATGAGTGGGAGGGGGGTTAATCACTTCGACCTTACAGATCCATTGTGTCCCACTTTCTTGAATCATAACTCATCATACAGTCCCAGGGCTTTGACAAAAGCCAGTATCTGGGACGGTTTTATAGAGGGTAGTTCTCCATCTCCAATATCAGTCGTACCAAAATTCATGGCACGAATGGTTGTCGTCTCGGCGCACTCAGTGATGAGGTGTACTGGTGTTTCCCCATCTTCCCCACAGAATCTGCATTCGCCGTTTCTTCTTAGTTTCAATCTACTGAGGTGCTCATTGAGGAGACAGTGTCCTGTTAATTTCACCAACACTATTCAAGGTCTATCTTGAACAAGTTCTCAAAGGTTGGACGCAAAAATGTAGAAATATGGGCGTATTCATAGGGGGATAACATGGCTCTATACACTGTGTTTCGCAGACGATCAGTTGCACATAGCACAAGATTACGATGACCTAAATTATATGACACGTAAGCTTATAGAAGAATATCTCAAAAATGGGGACTCGAGATCAATACTAACAAAACAGAATATATGCGTATCGGAGGAGAACAACAAGACCTAATACTAGAAGAAGGGAAGAAAATTAAGTGCTGCACAAAATACAAACATTTGGGTATGCAAATTATAAATGATGGACTGTTGGATACAACAATTAGAGAACGAAACCAACATGGAAGGAATGCTATCACGGTATTAAATGGGATACTGTGGGACAGAAGCATAAACAACAGGAACAAAACACTAATATATAATACCATCATCAAGCGTATAACCACGTATATACAGCTGTGAAGTGTGGCCAATTAGGGAAACAACAAAACGACTGCTGGAAGCTACAGAGATGGATTTTTTAAGATCAGCAGGCAAATCAAGACTCGAACGAATAACTAATGAACGCATAAGAGAGATTATGGAAGTGAAACATACAATAGTGGACGAGATAAAGAACAGTCAACTCATATGGTACGGGCATGTCCAAAGAATGTCAGAAATAAGAATCCCAAAGCAAATTATAAACTGGAAACCTGCAGGAAGAAGAAAACCGGGTAGACCGAGAAGAAGTTGGCAGGAAGGGATTGACACGTTTATGGAGGAAAGATCTCTCGGAGACGGTGCATGGAGAGACAGACAGGCATGGAGAGATGGCATCGGAAGACATAGAACGTTTTAAACCGATTAATATACACCCTGTAACTACAAAAGAAAGCAGAATTATGGAAGTTAAACATACAATAGTCGACGAGATAAAGAACAGTCAACTCATATGGTACGGACATGTCCAAAGAATGTCAGAAATAAGAATCCCAAAGCAAATTATAAACTGGAAACCTGCAGGAAGAAGAAAACCGGGTAGACCGAGAAGAAGTTGGCAGGAAGGGATTGACACGTTTATGGAGGAAAGATCTCTCGGAGACGGTGCATGGAGAGACAGACAGGCATGGAGAGATTGCCTCGGAATACGTAGAACGTTTTAAACCGATTAATATACACCCTGTAGCTACAAAAGAAAGCAGAATCGGACCTATGTTGATATGAAAAATAAATCTTATTTTTACGTGAGGAATCTACCCACGAGAGATGGCACATGTTTTTTGAAACGCCCTGTTTAACTTTAAAGTACATACATCAACATTAGATGGTATTAAAAAGCAATAACTATATTTTTAATTAATATCTGTCAACATCTGACCGAGTACTCGAGAAAT